GAGATTCAGTATATAAAACAAAGTGACAGAAAAATCAGTAAAGATATGACTTCCTTTTTCTATAAGCCACATGCATTCACTGGAGAAAGAAAAAAAAAAAAAAAAGAGAGGAAAAGTGGGAAATCACCCTCCTAGGGGGATGACCGCATCCAAATCCCTTCTCCTCTATTCTTCTCTCAGGATTTTGGGCATGCACACACACGTGCCTGGAGTGATTTTTTAAGCCACCGAGTGTGGAACTTGAACTACATTAAGCCATGTGGGAATCCAGTGCCTTAACCACCATGCCATCTGTTGGCCCAAAAGAGGAAGATTTTTAACTATACAATTAAGTAACTGAACCAAATAGGATATTTTACCCAACTGGGTTTTGTGAGAGTGTCCATGTTCAATTTGGTCTTTCTCTTGTGCTGGTCATTCAGGAGCTGTCACTCCTGAAATGGTGCGGCTTTTGCCAGAAGCTCTCATTTAGGACCCTGGTCTCCAATTTCACCACACAACCAGCTCAGCTTCAAGTGTTTTGTTTAGCTTTTTATTTTGTTTCCTCTTTGCAGCTGATTTGCACTTTGGTTTTCAGCCTTTCATTTGGACAGTTTAGGATTCTCCGAATGTATAGATTTCTTGAACAATGTCAATCGTACAACATCTACCAAAACTCAGATACTTTACGATCTCAGTCCTCAGCTTTGATTTATAACCAGAGGTTGTATTTATTAAGCTCTTACCATGTACAGACATTATATTAATCATATTCATTCATTTTTTACTAAGGCATATCACATTTACCTTCTACAAATAATGAACCTTTTCAAAATCATACAGACAATGTATAGTAGACTGGAGCTGTGACCTAGTTTTTTTCTTCCAAAAACCAAATACTTAATTACAGCAAAACAATGCTTCCCCAAAGAGAAGACGTGTAAGAAAAACTGGTGATAGGCCCTGGAAACAGAGATGTGACTACAACTATTTTCTGTCCTTCTTATAACCATTTGGGAACCTTCTGAAGGGAAAAGCAGCTCAGGATCCTCCCTAAGGATTCAGAACTCTCCTGAGCACTTCAGCCACTCCAGAGACTGCTCCCAGTACCCTTCTGGTTCACCTCACTTGTACAATATACCCTGAAGTCAACGATAACACCTTTGGATGTGTGTGTAGGAGGATGTACTTTGGTACTGACATCAGATCTCATTGAGCTGTTTGCCTGCGGTCTCCACTCTGCTCCCACTAAAGCAGATACATCTGTAGCACTTTCCCCTTCAATGGAAGAATATTTTTACTGGCTGAGCTAATTTAATCTTTTTTCCCCTCTCCCAGATGAGAAAATATCGGTAAGATTATCAGAGGGAGGCAAAGAGAAGGTGTGAGTTGAACAAAGATGGGATATGCAGGGATATATTGGGGATGAATTGGTTTTAATCTCTTTGGAGATTTCTTTTTTTTTAAATTCAACTAATTTTATGCAAATAATCTTATTCTTAAGACTAAATTCTCTGCAATAGATCCAGTCACAGTGGATCTACGGTATCAAACCACAATTAAATGTGAAATTTCCTCTGAAGGATCTTGGTCCTCCCCCTATGGAGACACGAGCAGAGCTTCCATAAAGTATTGATCAATATCGATTCATTGGATGAGATTCCTCTGTTGAACTGGTTTTGAAAGATAGCAAGTGGGTTTGGGAGATAAGAAATAGTGGTTTTAAGCACAAGGATCTTCGAATCAGAAGGGAAATTTAGCATTTTTCTCATGATCCCCTATGGAATCTCAGTCTCCTCTTCCTAAAATATATGTCGGCTTAGCCAAGGTATGTTTCTGTGATTTTGTATCCTGTTTCATATCCATGACATGTTTCCTTAGAGAAATGAACTCACAAGTTCTTGTTAAATCTGGAAAAAAAGCAGAATAAATTGACAGAAGTGTTGATAGTAAACATACTTTTCTTACACAATCTTCTTGACCCTGGAGTCAGATTCACAGTGACCGAGGGAAACATTTTGTCCTCTACATTTGTGTGGAAGAATAACGTTTAAAAAAAAAAATCAGAAGAGGCTAGGGGTACTGTATTCTAAAGTTGTAATACTGGGATTGGCAAAAGCCCCTATCATTTGACAAGCCATAAGTTACACTCATCTCTGACTCATTCATCTCTTTGCCTCCTGCTATTTTTGATTCAGGTCAAATCAGTTCAAGAAATACGTATTCTGGGACCAACAGTTAGCGTAATGGCTATGTTGCTGGACTCCCACGTAGTCCACCGTGGTTCGTGTCCCAGACCCGGTGGCTTAAAACTCACGCCAGGCGCGTGTGCATGCTTGCCCAAGATCCCGAGAGGAGAATGGAGGAGAAGTGATTGTGGCGTGGCCATCCCCCCTGGGGGGTGATTTTTTGCTTTCTGTCTCTCTGTCTCTCTCTGTCTGTCTGGTGAGCGCATGCGCCCTATAGCAAAAACCTCTTCAAAAAAAAAAAAAAAAAGAAATACGTATTCCAAATTTTTGTATACCACATTGATCTTATTTGCTGTGTATAAAGATGTCTCAGATGTGGTTCCTGCCCTTGAACATCTTACAGTCACAGAGAAGGATAGACAATTTTAATATTATTTGTGAAGAGCTGTGCTGGTGGTGAGTACAAGATGATATGCATATCTAAGATAGGCTGTGTGTGAGTGTATTTGTGTGCATTTATGTCTGTGTGCAGGGAATGGGAATGGTGGATGAGGAAAATGTGTGGATCAAAGAGGAAAATGTTCCTGGATGGAGAATATTTTTTCCCTACCAAAACTTGCAGTTATAAGCCAAGTGAAGAAAGGGTCATAGCAATACTCGCTCGGTGACTGCCCTTTCATTAAGGTAATCACTGGGTGTAGGCCTCACTTACAACTTGGTGGTAAGTGCTTAGTTTCATGATCTGTGTCTTCTTTCATCACAGCTGAGAAAGATTATTCATGAGGCATGGTCACACTGCACTCTTTTTTGCTCCATTTTTCCATCCTGTCAGGATTTTTTTTTTTTTTGAGAGGTTTTTGCTATAGGGTGTGTACACTCGCCAGAAAGAGAGAGACAGAGAGACAGAAAGTGAGAAATCACCCCCGGGGGAATGGCCACGCCACAATCCTTTCTCCTCCATTCTCCTCTCGGGATCTTGGGCACGCACGCACACGCGCCCAGCGTGAGTTTAAGCCACTGGGTCCAGGACTCGAACTGTGGTCGGCTACATGGAGTTCAGTGACATAGCCATTACGCTAACTGCTGGTCCCTATCCTGTCAGGATTTTGAGCACATATGTGCACACACTTGGCTTGTTTTTCAAGCTACAGGGACTTGGATTCAAACTGCAGTAGGCCATGAGGGATCAGCTTCCAGTGTATGGTGCTTAACCACAACACCATGGGGCTGGCCTCACTCACATTTTTATGGTATTTGAATTTTGTAAAAAGGAACCTGAGTCAATATGTTACTTAAATACATATTTTATTTTAACTACTTTTTGTTTATTTGTTTGCCACAGGGCATATGCTCTTGTCAGAGAGAGACAAAGAGAGACAGTGAGAAATCCCTCCCCAGGGGAGATGGCCATACTGCAATCCCTTCTCCTCTATCTCTTCCTGGGATTTTGAGTATGCATACATATACACTCAGTGTGATTTTCAAGCCATCAGATCTGGGATTTGAGCCGTGGTCCACCATGTGGGAGTCTAGGGGCTTAACCATCATGTCATCTGCTGGCCTGAAACAAGTAGAGTTTTAAAATTAATATATCATCTTCAAAACATAGACCATAGGCAAACAAAATTGAAATAAAGATATTAAAGAGGGATATGGAGTTCCTTTTTAGGTCATTATTTAAGAGTCTTTTATCCTTTTAAAGATTTTAGAGTTTGGTGGCACTGGTTTTTATTTTTCTAAAAATGAATCAACATCTATACCTCTATTTACCTGGGATAGGGGTGATATTGTGTAGCTATTACATTTGTATTACTTGATATGAAAATGTTTTTGTCTTGACAGATTTTCTTGAGTAGAATATTAATTTGAAATTGTTTACAGGATCCTTCATTTGGTGGTAAAAAGATTTAGAGACATTAGTTCAGATTTCTTCCAGATTGGTCATCAGTGGTGACATTGGCCTAAGATAATAGAATTCCTGGAAGAAAGATACCATGGAAGGATTTCCAAGGAGTAAGGAATAGAGTGAGGAGTCAATAGCTAAGGTAAGACTTATAAGCTGGGTTTTCTCACATGGGCTGGACTAGACTAACTTCTACCTACAAAGTAGCATCACTTAAAAGCTAAGGCACCTATCAGTTCAATGGTCAATAGTTATAACCAGAGCCAGCAGGTGGCGTAGCATTTAAAGTGCTGAACTCCCACCATGGCCAACTGTGATTTGCGTCCCAGACCTGACAGCTTAAAACTCACACCAGGCATGTGTGCATATGTGCCCAAAATCCCAGAGGAGAATGGAGGAGAAGGGATTGTAGTGTGGCCCATCCTCACTGAGGAGCGACTTCTTGCTTTCTTTCTCTGTTTCTTTGGCAAGTGCATGCACTCTATAGCAAAAATCTCTCTTAAAAATATAAATCTATACTATCATGAACGGAGGAGATATGACAAGAGCACATAAGACTCAGGAGTTTAGTTGCTAATACACTGAAATTAAATAGCATGACTTTATAGATAAGATCTATCTATTTATTATTGTGTTATTTAAAGTGTGAAATTGAGAATAAAAAATACATGATTTCTTTACTCTATTCTACACTTGTCAGATGGACACCAACAAAGAAGGCACTGTCTTTTACAGTATTGTTTTGCGGCACTGAAAATGCTCCAACGAGAGTAGCATGATCATCTTCTACAGACCTTATTAAGGTTTATTGAAATTTTGGGAAGTTACTGGCTCACTTACTAAGCTCTGCAACTCTGAGTTATATAATTTTGTAGGTTATACATGTTTATGTTTAGCATATAGTAACTTCTTACCAAAAAGAAAGACAAATGAGACAGACAAATCAGACACGGGTAACAGAGTTCCTCCTTCTGGGACTCTCTGATGACCTGCACACCCAGCAGCTGCTATTCATCCTTTTCTTGGGTGTCTACCTGGTTACTGTGCTTGGGAATCTGCTTCTCATGTCCCTTGTTTATGCCGACTCCCGGCTGCACACACCCATGTATTTTTTTCTCTGCAACTTGTCTCTGGCGGACCTTTGTTTCTCTACCAACATAGTTCCTCAGGCCTTAGTCCACCTACTTTCCAGGAAGAAGGTCATTTCCTTCACTCGTTGTGCAGCTCAGCTTCTTCTCTTCCTCATATTTGGATGTACACAGTGTGCCCTTCTAGCAGTGATGTCCTATGATCGGTATGTGGCAATCTGCAATCCTTTGCACTACCCCAGCATCATGACCTGGAAGGTGTGTGTCCAGCTGGCCACAGGATCATGGACCAGTGGCATTCTGGTGTCTGTGGTGGACACCACCTTCACATTGAGACTACCCTACCGAGGCAGCAACAGTATTGCTCATTTTTTTTGTGAGGCCCCTGCACTGTTGATCCTGGCAAGCACAGATACCCACACTTCGGAGATGGCCATTTTCCTTATGGGTGTTGTGATTCTCCTCATACCTGTTTCCCTAATTCTGGTATCCTATGGCCGCATCATAGTGACTGTGGTCAAGATGAAGTCAGCTGCAGGGAGGCTCAAGGCGTTTTCTACCTGCAGCTCTCACCTCCTGGTGGTCATTATTTTTTATGGATCAGCAATTGTCACCTATATGACACCCAAGTCTTCCAAAGAGCAAGAAAAACTGGTCTCTGTTTTCTATGCAGTGGTGACCCCCATGCTTAATCCCCTCCTCTATAGCCTGAGGAACAAGGATGTGAAGGGAGCTCTGAGGAAAATAGCCACAAAGAATTTCTCATGCAGGCGTGGAATCTCCTGCTGACTGTGAGAGAGACTCTGCGGACTTCCTATCTGTGAGGCCTGCAGGATAGTCCTCTTCCTTAGGAATCTTAATGATAGTCTCATCCTTGGGCCTTATACATTTATCCAGCATTTCCTTTGTAGAAGAAGATGATAAATAATTCCAGGAGTAATAAGAAAGAGGATCTACTTCTTTCAGGTTGGTCCTTTGGTACCTAAGAGTTATAAAATCTCCTGAGAAACATTCACATTTTATAAACCTTGTAAAAATGATCTTTTTGTTGTTGTTTTTGCCATAAGGCACATGCACACACTGAAGAGAGCTGGAGAGAGACAGAGAGAGGGAAAGTGATCATTCCCCCCCACCACCACCCCAGAAAGGATGGCTATGTTGCAATCTCTTCTCCTCCATTCTTCTCTTGAGATTTTAAGCATTCACTCACATGCACCCAGTGTGGTTTTCAAGTTGCCAGGTCTGGATCTCAAACTGTGGTTGGCCATGTGGGAGTACAGTGCCTTAATCACCATGCCACCTGCTGGGCACTGCAAAAGCTATCTTTTAAATAATACATTGTTATCAATCTATTCCAAATCCTACTCCAAGTCCTTTATCTCTTGTTATTTCGGAGTTTGTTTGCATCATCTAATAATTAACGAGCATTACTTAATCATTCACTATGAACTAGGTGCTACATGTGTACAACTGTATGTGTGTTTAAGGAGGATAAGGAAGAACATGGGTGCAATGTAGCAGAATATATGAGTATATGAGCTCTGCTGTCCTTTTCACACTTCTTAGAGAAATGCAAGGATTAGGAATCCACCTTCATAAAGGTGGATGTAGGGTTTGGGAAGCCAGCAAGTAATAGGGACATAGCTCAGGGTTAGCAAGAATGAGATGCTATAATCAATGCTAGGCTTGAAGGACCAAGAGCAGAGAACTGGAACCTGAAGAACAGAGCTATATCCAAAGGGCACCAGACAGAACTGTGGACTTAAGTTATACAGAAATGAGAAAGCCACAGGAGGAAAGGTTTCCAGCTCATTCTCCATCACCTTCTAATCTCTTACTATTGTATTCCAGTTAGAAGCCATAGGGGAGTCTTTAGGTATAATTCTAAAAGACAGCAACAATTTGGAAGCACAAACAACAGGAGAAAAACTAGAGGATGGATCCAAAGGGCCAACAGATGAAGTCTTCTCTTGGCCTTCAGCATGAACTTGTTCTTCCTTCAGCGTTTCATTTGTGTTTCTAAAACATAGAACACAAAGTTCTATTAACAACTGTATCATAACAAAGGGATAGCAAGCAGGTCATACCTGATACTTAAAAGAAGAGAGTCC